CGTTCCTCCTTTTTAAAAAGCCCGCGTGTTGCTGTGAAGTGATGAAATGAACAGTTTTGAACCAGGACTTGTATTTCCGCGTTTCCCCAAAGAAACTCAGCTGAGACAGCACAGGTTTCCCCAGGGGGCCCCTTGCCCATTCGGCCGTGTCCTGCAACAGGCAACGCACTCGTGGCTGTAAAACCGGTGACCCCTTTCCTTTATTTAACCTTCTGCCCTTGAAAATGCACCTTTTACGGCTGGCACGTGAGGCCTGCACTGCTGCTCGGGGAGGAGAAACATCAGAGGGAGAGGCGGCTCAGACGGGAGGAGTGACGCGCAGTCAGTCCACACTCAGGGCCCAGCCTGGGCCACATGCGCTGGTCTGTGGCTGCGACAGGGCCCACCGTGCTGCCTCCTGCCCGTGGCTGTCCTCCTGGGGCTCCGCGACGCTGGCGACCGGCTCGCCCCCTGAAGTGCACGTGTGTGGCCACCAGGGAGCCCGTGAGGGTGGCAGCTGGTAGGTGTGGGGCCAACAGCGCCAACGGGGACGCCTTGGAGGCTGAGCCTGGCTGGACCCACACCTCCCGTGCCCTGTCACCCTGCGTGACGCGTCTCGCCCGGCCGTTTCCACTTCTCTGTGTCACATGCTTCGTCACCGATTTTTCTGGAAACTCCTCCTGTAAGTCGCTTTCACGAAATCCTCATCTAAAGCTCTGCTCTGGGGACCCACCCGCGCCATGGGGTCCCTACCCGCAACGCACCCTGAAAGCCTGACCCTGGCGTGCAGGGCACTGACCTCGAAACCCAGCACCACACACAGGTCTCCCGAGGGCCCCCAGCCCGGCGTTACAGCGGAACCCCCCAAATGTGGAGCATAAAGTAGGGCAGAGGTCAGAGCCTAGCGGCCCCCTCTGCCTGGGACCCCTCAGCCTCGGAGCAGCGTGGGTCAGCACTGTGTCCCTTACAGCCCCAGAGCCCCCAGCTCACCGGCTATCTGACACCCCCAGGCACCTTCTGCCTGTTTAAGAAAACAAGAACATGCTTTGTGAAGAACATTCAAAACCCTCTTTTTGTTTTTAAAAACTGTAATCGGGTTCCCTTGTCCTGGGCTGTGTCTGCTGTTCCCTCTAATGTCACTTTTTCCGGGAACGCGCCGTGCCCTTGAGGCTCCGCGTCGCACACCATGCATGTTTCTGGACGCTTCCCGCTGTCCTGTCTCGGAGGGCTCCTCCTCCGCCTTCGCTGCCCTCCCCTCAGACCCCGTTTGCGGGAGCCGTGTCCCCTGTGCACCCCCTCACCTTTTCCACAACCATCTACATCTTCACTAGTTTTCATCTCACTGCAGATCCTTGGTTTGGAATTCTGAGTCTTTTTGCTGTTCCATCTGTTGTGAATTCCACTGTGCTTTTTTTCACTTTTATTTCTTTCCCAAACTTTGCCAACTCACTTATCATTTTCTGTGGTCTTATAGCCTCTTCTTTGAATCTTTCTCTCTCTTATTTGAAATATTTTCTTAGTGAGATTATATTGTGTATAATCCTTTTCAGATGATTTCTGTCATATTTTGTGCATTTCTTATCTTTCGAGAGAGAGACACACATATAATATATAATTTGTCTTGCTTATATTATAATTGTTCCAGTTTTTATTTTTTTTAATTGTTCCAGTTTTTATGCAACAGCTCCATATTGATCCTCTTATTTTTATCACCTTTGAACAAGGCAGGCGACCTGTAAGTGGAGTCACACCGCTCAGCTGCTGTTGAAACACCGTAACCTCTGCTCAGGTTTGTGGTCCATCGTGCCTTCTCATCAGACCTGTGTTTTGTTTCCTGAGGACTCTGCTTCAGAACCCGCAGCATGAGGCCTAACAAGGACCGGCTTCCACCATTCGAAGCGGGGCGGGCACGTGAGGGGCCCGGGCTGCGCGGACCGCCAGGGCCTGGCGTCAGGACACGGAGCTGGGGAGTTTCGGGCAAAGGCGCCCGGGTCGAGGAACACACCCTCCCGTCTGTGAGTGAGCCTGGGCTCTGCACACCCCGACGCGGAGCCGCGTGCATGTCACTCGCTTGTCCGTCTGCACGAGGCTTCACAGAGTTCCCATTCGGTGTGCGACCTGGGGTCACCACGTGCCCTCGGGGGTCTCGTGACAGACAGATGGTAAACAGGAAGCCGACAGCCACGCAGTCTCAAGTGTGGGCGTGCGTGAAGGAAGTGTGTGACTCCAGGTGTTTCAGGCAGGGCCACCTGTGACACAGGTCAGTCTGTCCTTGAGGCGGGAGCGTGGGGAATGGATTCGAACGTGACTGTAAAAACTCAGGTCAGAGACAGGCTGTTTCCCTGATCCGGGAGCGACAGGTGAGCCTGAACCAGAGGAAGCCGTGGAGGCACCAGGCGTGTCCGGGGGCAGAACGGGCCGGGCACCGTGGGCTGGCGTGAGGGGCCGGGAGGGGACAGTCAAAGCTCTCCCACTTTCTGGCGTGTGCGACTGACTAGATGGCGGGAGAGGGACCAAGGAGAGTGTGTGTGGGAGGAGAACACAAGAGTTCAATTTTGGAACATGTGAGATGTTTCTGAGAATCCTGGCAAACACATTAGGAAACCATTTTGATAAACTGGGCCAGTGGGGAGAGATCTGGGCGGCACATACAAAACCTGCAATCGCTGCAGGACGCGAGGTGTTTAACGTCACAGGAGTGGGCAAGGGGCGCACGAGCCCCGTGAGTCCCAGCAGTTCTGATCTCTCCACGGCCCATGTGCTGGAAGCCGTCAAGTAAGTGACAGCGACCTTATTTCAGCCAACTCTTCTGGCCACCCATGACAGAAACCCCAGTGAGTTATATTAAGCAAAAAGGAAAAACCTGTTGCCACACTGTGAAGGCGAGTCCACAGCATCCGGGCACAGATGGGCCCTGAGACCGCCTGTGTCACCAGGGCTCCATCACCCATGACTTCTCACTCCTTTTTCCTGCGTGTTGGCCTCACTCCAGGCCAGCTCACTCTGCTTGGTGTCACCTATTAACAAACCCAAGTTAAAAAGAGCTTCGTCATTCCAGCAGTTCCAGAAAGATCCATGGATTCCTTCTGATTTAACTGTTTTGGTGTCTTAGTCCACTTGGGCTGCGACCAACTAGGTGGCTTATGAGTAGCTTGCCGCTCCCGGCCCTGGAGGCTGGAGGCCCGTGGTCTCGGCACCAGCAGATTCGATATCTGGTGACGGCCCGCTTCCTAGGTGGCCGCCTTTTCGCTGTGACCCCAAGTGGCGGAAGGGTCCAGGAACCCTGGGGTCTCCTTCCTCAGGTCACTGATCCCTCTCACGCAGGCTCTGCCCTCACGGCCTGATCGCCTCCCAAAGGCCCCACCTGCTACCTCCACCTTGGGGAACGAATGTGGTGGGGACACGGCACCCAGTCTACGGGACTTGAAATATGTGTGTCGGGCCTTGTACTGAGCACTGTGCGCGGCGGGTTCTGAAATGCCTGGGACACCGCCTTCTATAGACGAGGACGCGGTGAAGAGGGCCGAGCGGGCGCCCACAGACCCCACATCTGCAGCACGCCCGACCCCTCTGCACAGGACACTGTCACTTACTGAGCATCTATGTATCAGAAAGTACATGGCACTCGGCTCACTGTTTAGCTGATTTTTGTTTTGCCAAAAAGGCAGTGATTTCACATACAGTGGGTTCAGCAAGCTCACGCCCCCTGGCCGGATGCAACCCTTCCGAAAACAGGTTTGTGGGGAGCAGCCTCTGACGTTTGTTTACCCACTGTCTGTGCTGCTTCTGTGCTGAGTAGTTGTGACAGGGACGGCGTGGCCCTCAAAGCCAAAAATATTTACTATCTGGTTCCTTAAAACACATATTTACCAAACCCTAATATGTTTTTCTGTGATGAGATTCTTTGTAGTTAGCAGACTGGTGGTGTTCAGTGGCTTAGGGTCAATTTCCATTTTCACTGTTACATTTAAATGTCATTTGTTCAATTCCATACATTTTTTATCAAATGCCACACACACACACACACACACACACACACACACACACACACACACACATGGCAGAAGTTGGTCTGTCTGTCTGGGGGGGATTTCTGTGTGGAGAAGAAAATGCACCATCTCCCACTAAAGCGTGATGTGAGGGACCCCGTTCACTTTTTCCAAAAGGCTCCGCTGAGCTTCTGCCGCGTCTGGGGTGTGAACGTCCTGAGGCATCACCCAGGTTCCTCTTCCATGCTGGGCAGCACCCCCTCGCCCCCAGCCGCAGCTGCAGCCAGTCTGGGAAAGAGAAACAGGACGGAGGAGGAAGCCAGGCTCAGACGTTCTCTTATCTCCTGTGTTTCAAGACCATCGGAAACAGTTCTGGGCAGAAAGCAGGCAGCACGAGAGCCCGACTGCAGCTCTGCCTTCATCCTTGGCTTGCACAACCCACAGATAATTACAGGTCACCGCACAGACCCCGCCGGTGACGGCTGGCACTCGGCCTCCAGCTCCTTTCATCTCCGGGGGGCCCACGTCTGGGGCCCTTGCACGCTGGCCGGGACGCGGTGCCGCTGCCAGAGCTGCCGACCGGCTGCCAGCGTTGGACATACTTTCCACTTTACCTGCACAGAAAAATGTAACGTTGCCCAAGTTTTTTCCGCTTGCTTTTCGCGTCTGCAGAAAGCAGCCGTGGCCAGCTTTGTGAAAGGTTTCGTGTCTGTTCCTGCACAGCGATGAAGAGAATGAAGGTTAAAGGGACTTTCATTTGTTGAAGCACAACAAACGATTGTCCTAGAAACACCAGGCCGCGGTGAGACGCCCCTCGTCCGTGTTTTGTTTCAGCTGTTTCGCTGCCGAGGGCCCGCTTGATCTGGTCCCAAAACCACAGTTTCAGGACAAGATTTCAAAGAACCGCGGTGACTTGTCACATTTCTCGTGGTTGGCTGACGTCTCAGAAACGTTTTGCCTGAAGCCCTCCCCAAAGAAAAGACCTGATTCTTTGGTCATAAAAGCGATAAAAAGGAAATGAAAGGCAAGAAGACAAAACAAACAAAAAAATACAATGAGCAAGCCTCTTCTTTAATACAATCAAATGGTATTTAAATGGAAACAACTACAGTTTGGGGGAGGGGCACTCTGGAAATCACTAGTTTGAGAGACGCACGTTCCTGTCATTTCAGCCCAGAAGCCTGTTGGTGCCCGTGACAACACGGCCCTTGTTTGGCTGTGAAGAGGCCCCGCTGATGAAACCCTGGGCATACCTCTGGCTACCTGAGGCCCAAGTGACAGGAGGCCCCGATCGGGTGCTGCTTGTCACAGGGGCCAGCACAGTGACACACAGGGCAGCTTACAATGTCCCGCCCTGTGGAGGGGGCAGCGTGAGGGTGTGAGAAAGGAGCCAGACCTTCCCCACCAGCCGGGGATAATCACAGGAGCGCCTCTGTCAAGTCCTCGGGGGTTTCTGCACATAAAAATTAGTTAATTAGCAATTATTACCGTATGTTAGGTAAGCACAGGTTATTATCATAATTTTCAGAGTAAATGAGAGTGACGAGAAGCTGCCAGGAGAAAAATTAAAATTAATGAGTTCCTAGATCACAGGCCTGAGCTGCATGGACTTTAAAGACAGTGCTTATTTCAAAAAACATGCTAAAGTGAAACTTCAACATCGCAAAAGCAGATTTTCCAAATAAAAAATGCTCGATTTATTAATGAAACCAGTGCCGGAACTCTGGTTTTCACTTGTGAATTAAATCACGAGTTTTTGTGATTTGACACCTTCCCGTTCATCGGTGACGATTGTGATGGAGACGCCATGTTACAGACCATCAGGCCTCAAACCGCATCGCTTGTTTTTTTCCTTCTTAGGAATAATCGCGGGGCTTTGGTGCTTTAGAAACCTGTAAAACGTGTTCGGATCAGTGACTATTTGGGTAAATTAGGTCCAGGGAGTATCCACTATGAATCAGTGTCCTGGGGACCTGGCACCAACGTGACAGACATCTTTCAAACTTAAAAGTTTACACTCGCCTTTAGAAGCTGTACCTTTGTGTAATTGGCTGAAGAAAGTGGCCTCTTGCTGCCTAAAGCCGCTGTGAGGACGTGTGTTAGAAGGCGCGCTCTGCTGTCTCTCTGCCTGCATGCTCTCCGCTCAGGGGGGTCGAGTTGGGCTCTAGGCGGTGGCTTCGGGAGGTCACACGGCCTGTGCAAATGTCATCTCCTCCCGTGACGTGTGGCAGCAACAGTCTGCCTCCTGACGTGCTGCACTCGCTGCTGGAGTGACACAGGTCACATGCAGCACAGTACTGGGCACCAGGCACCTGCCTAGCCGGCACCGCCTTCTCGGTGACAAGCTGACGGGCAGGTCGGTGGGAACAGGCTGCCAAGTCAGAGTGACGGTGAGCACGGCGCTCTGTCCAGCTTGGGACCACGTCTGGGTGAGAAAGTACAGACTTGAACCACATGCAGAAGGAAAAGGTGGCAGCAGAGGTGGGGGTAGCCCTAAGAATCACCTGCAAAGTGGCCCACGCACCCCCTGCAGGGGTCCACCTGTGAATAACTGCTGGGGGCTCCCGAGCTGGCCAAGTATCTAATCCGGGTGCCCCGCGGACCAAACACACGCCTCCCTACAGTTTGTTGTCATTTTTATTGGTGTGGTGCCCCCACTTCTCAAGGTCACACCCCTCATGTGCTGTCTTCCCAGGTCACGCCACACCTGGCAGCAGGTGGCTGCTGGCACTGCCTGACGCAGTGATGAGGGAAGGATGCCCCAAACTGCCAGCTCTCCATTTAGGACAACTGTGCCCCCAGGGACACTGGCAGTGACGGCTGTGACAGCCAGGGCCTGGGGTAGGGGGGCGCTGGCATCTAGGGAGTAGTAGCCAGAGATGCTGCTAAACATCCCACGAAGCACAGGGCAAGTCGCACAGCCGAGAAGCACCTCCTGAAAACGCCAGTAGTGCCCGCGGAGAAGCCCCACCCTGGCCGGTTCCTTTTCCGCCTTCTGGTTCTCACTCCCTGCCTCTGGATTCAGCCACTAAGTGACACGCACGGCTCGCCAACTCTGGCCAACGTGCTGGGAGGGATTTTGTTTTGCCTGACCTCTAAGAATTTTGATACTAAAATTAACCAACATGCATTGGCTGGGACAGACTTCCCTTGGGCCTGAAGAGGCCCAGCTCCCGCACACACTGGCGCTGAGCGGCTCCTCTGCCTCCGGCGGGGACGGTGGGGCCAGCGCTCTGGGAAGGACACCCAAGGTGGGTCAGCGCTACCCTCCCAACAAGGGCGCCTGGCGAGCTGCCCCTGTGCCCCCACATCAGTTTGGTTTGAAACTACCACCCTGTTGATTCCAGCCCCCCGCGAGGCTAACAAGCCCACACACCGTGGTTGAAAGAGTGTTTCTTGCCCACTACCTGAGAACCCGTGAGCAGCTTAATAAACGTGCGGAGGGAAGACTCCTGGCACGTGCTTATCTGAACAAAGGCCAACTGTGCTCCACCCCAGGGACCATCAACGAAATGCATTAATTGATTAAAGCAATTAAAAGCAAGTCTCCACCACAAACACACAAATGCCACAATTACGGAGCGCCGCCCAGGGACAACAACGCACAGCTTCTCAAAGGCCACTTCTAAGGAGCCACCCTCACGGACGCCAAGGCCGTCCCTTCGTGTGTGAAGCAGTGAGGCTGAAGGTCACGGGCTTAGCAGCCACATGAAGGAGAGAAGTGAGCAGACAGACGGACTTCCGACGTGGGCCAGCCACGCTGCGCACCCCCAACTTCTCCACCTGGCTGTTCAGCCCGGCAGCCCCGCCAGCGCCCGACTGTGAGCTTCTCAGCACCGTCCCAGCCTGGGGACAAAAAGCCGCTTGCACGGATGGTGGGGCGACTACCACTTGGGGAGGCGCCCCGGGCCGTCCCTCAACACTCAGGTGCGGCTGAAACCGCCCGGAGCCCAGGTCCTGCCCGAAAGGCCCTGCGTTTCCCGGGCGGCAGCTTCCAATCAGGGGGGTCACGGCCAGGCC